CCATTTTCTCTTATTTTATGGGAAAATAACATAATTTACTACAACTTTTGAACCGTAATTTTTACAGAAATGGGAGTTCTACCATTTTGTTCAGAATTTAAAGTGCTACAACTTGCTAAATTTTTATCAAAATCGTTCGGGCCGTTTTTAAGAAAATCCGATTTTCCCATTATTTTATAAGTTTTTCTGTGAAAATCTACATTAAAAATCAAAATTTCCAAAAAAAAAAAAAATAAAAAAAACACCTGGATTAGTACCTACATACCGTACCAAATTTCATCAAAATCGGACTACAGGTAGGTGTGGTCTGTAGCTCTGTACACATCTAGACACACACACCACTTTTTTAAAAATCACACTCAAAAAATGTTGACGAAAACAATACTTTCTCCATATATTATGGTACAGGGGGAGAAAGTAAAAAGATGCTTGTTTTAGTATATGCCAACCAACAGACGGCCCAAAAGACCATTGTTTTAAGTGCTAGGCCATTTAATTTTGTAATTGTATAGTTAGGCTCTTTACTAGTCATGAATGATTGTAAACCGGTTATCTTTGGTTAAATAAAGCACTTTTTCATTTCATTAGTCAAATTTGGAAATTTTGTTTATTTAATTTTAAGCTATCAACATAAATTTGATTATTTCTTGGATATGATATTTATTTCAAAGCTGCAGAGCAGCATGGGTTCTCTAGTGTTATTTAAATAGGAAATGAATCCAATAATTTTGAGGGAATATTTTAGTACAAATTCAGCCAAGTAAATGGAAATTGGTTTAGTGTGCAGGTTTGCTGAGGCGGGGGTATTTATATCAACCAATGTAGGGTAAGTAAGTGCTGAGTGCTGCCAACATTAATCTGTTATGTAGGCTACTCATTACCTAATATTTGCTTGAAATAGATTCTTATTTGATTGTAGTCACACCCGTCTGTCCAAACTAAAATGTCCAAAGCCGCTGCCAGTTGCACGACGATCAATAACTCAGAGCTGTCTCACGACGTCTAGAGCTCTTGCTTACGGAGCTAGGTTAGGTTAGGTTAGTTTGCACTACAGTCGGTAAAAAAGTATTCACGATGTGCAGGGGCTCTGGACGTGGTGGGACAGCGCTGAGCTATTGGACGCTGTGAAACTGGCAGCGGCATTGGACATGGTGCAACTGCTACATTTTGAAGAGTGTTAAGTGCTCTGTTTCACGACGACCAATCTCATGACATCCAGAGCTTGTAGAAAGACTACAGTATGTTTATTGCAGTTGCTGTACTTTTGGACATGAGATTTGAACGTCATGCAACAATCAAATATTTCATAGACTATTGGACGTCATGAGACAGTCCAAAAATTTTACTTTGGATGTTGTGACACTGACTTATATTATTCTATGTGGTTACCCTTGGATGTCATGAAATGCATCCTTATTTTTATACAACAGGTTACACTAAAAAACCTTATTAATACTTGATAGTGCCTTATCAGAAAGTCTGTACATAGCATTTTGTTACCATGTTAGCCTACCTAAGAGTAATGATGTGCGATACTGGTCAATGTGTTGATCCTGCGTAGTGATATGCATTAGAACAGAACGTATCGATACCTATATCGTATCTTATCTTTGTGCATGAATTTTTACCCGTATCAAATGAAGTATATTATAAGTTATTTCTAATTTTTAGAAAAAAAATTTAAATATCTTAAATATACAAGCTGCAGAGGCAGATACTATGTTACTTACAAGCTTGTAATACTTTAATACTTTTCAATGAAACTAGAAGAAACCTGTCGAAATTGATGGTTGCTTTAAAGGCTCACGAACAATTACTTCTAGCAGTGTTTTGAAATATTTGGATGTATAACACTTGCTTGAAAACAATTTTTTTCATAATTTTATGTTATATGTTTAAAATTGAAGAAAACAAACCTCATGAGGTATGGTGACAACTATTTGTGCAGTGCAATGCTCTCAAAGCAGGCAAGTCTTTAAAAAGCTACATCTATGGATCCATGCAGGATTATTTCTGAATAGACTGCAAAATCTGGCCAAGATTAAGAAAATGTCAATCGGTTTAGGTTCAAGGTCGGGTTCAACCAGAACTGTGTGTTCACCAGATTACATTAGCAGGCAAACACAGAAAAAAATACCGATACAAAGTATATGTATGTAATCATATACAATAGACCACCATAATGGTCTATTCTCTGTGATGTAATGTCCACATCTTTAACAATGAAACTTGTTATAGATGTTGATAGTTGTAAGCAAAACTGATAAGTTAAATTTATGAAATAGTTGTATTTTGTATTATATTTATAAACATTTTATTTATCTATAGCTTTATTAAAATAGATTTAATTGAAATCACTTCAGACAAATAGAAATCCGCTTAGTCGTCAGGTTTGCTGCGGCGGGGGTTTTTAGCGAATTTCCCTATAGGGAAGTAGCTATTACCGTAGGTCTCATGGTAAGACCTAAGCCCGGGACCGATTTACTTTTTCATTTTGATGTCCCCAGAGGCCAAAAACACCATTCGTTCAAATTTTTATATATCTATATATAGAGATATATATATATATATATATATATATATATATGTGTGTCCATCCGCACGATAACTTGAGTAATTTTTGTCCGATTTTGATAAAATTTGGTTTGAAGTTGTAAGGCGGGATAAACTTGAATGAGTTCGCGAACCAGCATGATCGGACTATGGGAACGGGGGTTTATGGGGGGTTTTATGGGGTAAAAATAGGTTTTTCCCATTTTTGCCCCTAAAAACACAAAATTTCACAATTTCTTTTTAAACCATTTTGTAGAGCTTAAAAAAACAAATAATTTAGTATATTGAAGCGTTATTATGCGCCTAATTGTTACGGAGAAAATTCAAAAAAATTGTAATTTTAAAATTCCCATGTTATTCTTATGGAGAATAAGTCGACTGTTGCAGTTTGCTTGTTTATGAACATATTTTGATCGATTTTGGATAATACTTTTATTTCTTACTAAACTATTATCATTTCATAAAAAAAATCTTTTTTACCCTCCCTGTTGCAGCAAACCTAAGGTACTTGTTAAACTAATTCTATTTAAATAGGAAATAAATGTGCTATTTTTATGGAGGCATTTTAGTGTAAATCCAATCAGGTCAATGGAAATTCGCTTAGTCTGCAGGTTTGCTGCGGCGGGGGTATTTTTTACTTTAATGTCCGTTTTGGTTCAAATTTGCGGCATTGTATTTTACTAACAAAGACCTTCAATTTGATTGTGCATATAAACCTAATGTTACATTTAAGAGTTTCTTTTGACTCCTGTCGGGCCCCATCCCCCGAGGAGGTAGCACATCACTGAATAATGTGTCAAAATAATTTCAGTGCCCAGTAACTGTGTACCTAGTTTTGAAGCTCCACCTTTATTACTTTTTGAAATATTTAACTGTCCTAGGACTTTTTTCAACCTGTATAATACCATAGACAAATAGAATAAATATAGACTGTCAAAGGAAGGTTCCGGCGCCCACCGCTAGGTTTGCCGTGTAGTTACGGCGCACACCGCTGCAGGCGAGGAGCGCAGGAGTCGTATGTGACCAGCTGACGCTGCAGCAGTGTGCGCCGTAACTACACGGCAAACCTAGCGGTGGACGCCAGAACTTATGCTAACCGCAGCACAGCTGACAGTCTATATTAATTCTATTTGTCTATGATAATAGTTTTTAGAAAATAAGTTTAAAATTTTAAAAAGTCTAGCAGCCGACGCTGACATTCTACACTAGCTTTTGGTATAAAAACATTCGCTTAACGTAACAGCTGTAAACATTAAGCATGTGTGACACAAATTCAGCATTTATTTAAGACATGCATAGGATTGACTTATTCATACTATATGTAATGCTATACTCATTGATACGTTTATTTATTGGGTTAGGTAAGAGGATGACAGACTATTTAAATATGCATGGTAGATGTTCTAATTTATTTTTTATAGCAGTCTTTAAAATTTTAAGTTTGTTATAGTGCAGTATAATTTCTTTGAACTAACGGCTGGTTGAATATAAAAATATTCTTTAGATCTATCAGGTTAGTTTATTATTCTCTGATTTTGCCATTGATTATAGAAAATAAGTAAGATTCTATACCCACTGATGTATACAAATTGAGACTCTGGAGTGGTAATGAATAAGACCAAAATTAGATTGCAAAGAATGAATACATATATATATATTTGTAAATAAAGGACATTTGTATAAGGATTTCCAACATGTAGATCAATTATGAGGAGGCTCATTGCTATATATTAATACATGTCTGTTATAAAGGCATGTTGATACAAAGCATTTTCCACATGAAGTGCACTCGTAAGGTTTCTTTTCTGTATGAATTGAATTGTAAATGTACGTGACTTCAAATTGTTTTTGCGTTTAAAGGATTTTCCGCATGTTGTGCACTTATAAGGTTTCTCTTCTGTATGAATTGACAATGTATGTACCTTCTAACTGTTTTGCAGTTAAAGAATTTTTCACATTTAGAGCACTTGTACTTTGTATTGCACTTGTACTTTGTATTGCACTTGTATTTTGTTGTTGTTGTCTCTCTTCTGTATGAACCAATGTGTGTTCCATCAAATTGCTTATACATTCAAAATTCCCTCATATGTCTTTCATTAATGAGGACTCTCTTCTGTATGAACCGACAATATATGCGACTTCAAAATGAATTTGTATACAAACGATTTTCCACATGTTGTACACTTATTAGGTTTCTCTTCTGTATGAATTGACCATGTATGTAACTTCAAATGGTTTTTGCGTTTAAAGGATTTTTCACATGTTGTGCACTTATAAGGTCTCTCTTCTGTATGAATTGACAATATATGTACCTTCAAACCGTTTTTGAGTTTAAAGGATTTTCCACATGTTGTGCACTTATAAGGTTTCTCTTCTGTATGAATTGACAATATATGTACCTTCAAACCGTGTTTGTGTTTAAAGGATTTTCCACATGTTGTGCACTTATAAGGTTTCTCTTCTGTATGAATTGACAATGTATGTAACTTCAAATGGTTTTTGCGTTTAAAGGATTTTCCACATGTTGTGCACTTATAAGGTTTCTCTTCTGTATGAATTGACAATGTATGTACCTTCAAACCGTTTTTGAGTTTAAAGGATTTTCCACATGTTGTGCACTTATAAGGTTTCTCTTCTGTATGAATTGACAATGTATGTAACTTCAAATGGTTTTTGCGTTTAAAGGATTTTCCACATGTTGTGCACTTATAAGGTTTCTCTTCTGTATGAATTGACAATGTATGTAACTTCAAACCGTGTTTGTGTTTAAAGGATTTTCCACATGTTGTACACTTATAAGGTTTCTCTTCTGTATGAATTGACAATATATGTACCTTCAAACCGTGTTTGTGTTTAAAGGATTTTCCACATGTTGTGCACTTATAAGGTTTCTCTTCTGTATGAATTGACAATGTATGTAACTTCAAATGGTTTTTGCGTTTAAAGGATTTTTCACATGTTGTGCACTTATAAGGTCTCTCTTCTGTATGAATTGACAATATATGTAATTTCAAACCGTGTTTGTGTTTAAAGGATTTTCCACATGTTGTGCACTTATAAGGTTTCTCTTCTGTATGAATTGACAATGTATGTACCTTCAAACCGTGTTTGTGTTTAAAGGATTTTCCACATGTTGTACACTTATAAGGTTTCTCTTCTGTATGAATTGACAATGTATGTGACTTCAAATTGTATTTACTTGAAAAGGATTTTCCACATGAGTTGCACTTATGAGGACGCACATTGCTATGTATTAATACATGTCTGTTATAAATGAGTGTTGATGGAAAGGATTTTCCACATTTAGTACACTTATAAGGTTTCTCTTCTGTATGAACTGACAACGTATGTGACATCAAATGTTGTTTGTATGAAAATGATTTTCCACAGGTAGTGCACTTATAAGGTTTCTTCCCTGTGTGTGTCAACAAATGACTCTTTACCTTATAATGGGTGGTAAAGGTTTTGTCACACATCAAACATTTAAAAGGGCGCTCGCCTGTGTGATACAATATATGAACTTTCATTCTTAACTGAGTTAAAAAGTTTTCCCCACATATTGGACACTTAAGCAGAGGCTTTTTAGTGTGTTTTAACATTTGTAATTTTCCAATTTCTGTCTTTGTGAAACTTATTAGATAATCTTATAATACCATAATAATCAGAAGGGTCGACGAATCAATAAGCCTTGTACCTTTATCTATTAATCTTTTTTGTAGGACTTGTTAAATGATGCAGTTGAACAAATACTGGGCTTATCTAGCAACACATCTGAAAAATATCACACTTTATTAACACATTTATTTAGGTCTAATCATGATTAAACAATTTAAAAAAGTTTTACTATAGTTCAGCCGCTTAGAAAACGACCTGCGCGCTAATGCTAAACCTATGCTGGAGGAGGTCGCTTTTTAAGCGGCCGAACTATAGTTAAAGTACATCATATTGGTCTAACATAATGTTGGTGCAAAAAATGAAATGAAGAAACCAAGAACAAGTACATTTTTGGTGGTTTTTAAAACATTTTTAATACTTCACATCATCAAAAATTCAATTTTTTCACTATATTACGACGTTTTACAAACATTAATTAAGCTATGTATTGCTGTCCAACACCGAAATGCCACCTGTCTTCGTCATTTTGGGCAATACAAAGCGGGTCTTTGCAGGTCTGAAAATCAGCTGTTCCCTTTTAGCGAATTTCCCTATAGGGAAGTAGCTATTACCGTAGGTGGCACGGTAAGACCTAGGCCCGGGACAAATTTACTTTTTCAATTTGATGTCCCCAGAGGCCAAAAACACCATTCGTTCAAACTTTTATATGTGTATTTATATATATATATAGATTTATATATATACTAGCTGTGTACCCGTTCTACGCACGGGGATCTTATAATATTCAGTTGAAACCTTCTTATATAACGAACAGCAGTTGGTTTGCATATTTTAAGATATGCTGGCCAAACTATTATACATAGCTTCATTTTATGTTGTTTTTTGTTGTTCCGGATCGGTATGACAATCAATAAAAGGTTAAATTACCTCTGTGTCTGCCGGTCGATCCTATAACGGTAGGCTTACTTTTATTTTTACTATCTGATCTCGTTTGCATGGCTCAATCACGTCCTGGTTGAAGTTCGTTCGCTACGCTCACTCACCTGTATGTTGGAGCTCGTTCGCTGCGCTCACTTTCCTTCAGGTTAGCTCGTTCGCTACGCTCACTTGCCTTCAGGTTAGCTCGTTCGCTACGCTCACTCGCCTCCAGGTTGCAAATTAGCTGTTGTCATAAATGTAAAAGAAATAATAGTGCTAGTGCTGCACCCTGTTGGTAATCCTTGTAACTTTAATGCTATTGAACATCACAGAACAGAACCAACTTGTTTAATTGAAACAGCTGTTAAGATTCAATAATTTCATTTCTCATAAGGTTAACATGGGCTTCCAGAAATTCCACGTCAAAAATCGACAAAAACTTGATTTTCAAGGGTTTACTGTTAAATATCTAACTGTCTCATATTCGATGAAATACGTCTAAAACCATCTCATATATGTATAGTATTTGGAAAATAAGTTTCAGGCGGGACAGTGCTATAGTTATTGAGGAGTAGTTGTAATAAAGTGCGTATTTTAGCGTTACCAAGAGAATGACAGATAGACAGACAGACAGACAGACAGACAGACAGACAGAAATTGAGATAAGGTTTGATTCGGTTTCTCTGACCTATGAAATGTAAAAATAACCAAAAAGTTCATTATTCTAAGCAATGTACAGACAAAACTCTAATTTTATTTATATAGATATACGTCCGTGAACGCGATAACTTGAGTAATTTTTGTCCGATTTTGATGAAATTTGGTTTAAAGGTGTAAGGTGGGATAAACTTGAATGAATTCGCGAACCAGCATGATCGGACCATGGGAACGGGGTTTTACAGGGTTTTATGGGGTAAAAATTGGTTTTTCTAATTTTTGACCCTCACAACACAAAATTTCTCTCTAGACCTTTTTAAAGAGCTTAAAAAAACAAATAATTTAGTATATTGAAATGTTTTTGTACGGTTATCGGTAACGGAGAAAATTCAAAAAATTATATATTTAAAATTCCCATGTTATTCTTATGGAGAATATTGTAAAATGTTGTAGTTTGCTTGTTTATGGAAATATTTTGATCAAACTTGGCTAATTTATTTATTTTATACTAAGCTATTAATATTTTAGTAAAAAATACACTTTATTAGTTTCCTTGTAGCAGCATACCTAGGTACTCGTTAAACCTAATGTTATTTAAATAGGTTTAATTGAAAATCAATTCAGACAAATGGAAATTTGCTTAGTTGGCAGGTTTGCTGCGGCGGGGGTATTTTACTTAAAAGATTAATCCATATATTAATACGCAAGCAGTTTTCTTTTCACAGCCATAACTGGATAACAGCTACAATTATTATTAAGTTTTCGGATAAATTATGCAGTTTAAAAACTTTTTTATTCTCAAAATTTTTTTGATAAACCCACTCGTTTAGGAGTTACAGCCTATGAAAAACTGACTTCTGGTGTGACATCTTTACTAATGAAACTTGTTATAGATGTTGATAATTCTAAGTGAAACTAAACTGATAAGTTAAATTTATGAAATATTTTGTATTATATTTATATTTATAAACATTTTATTTATTTATAGCTTTATTAAAAACCATGTAAATAAATTAATTGAAATCAATTCAAGACAACTAGAAATTCGGTTAGTCGTCAGGTTTGCTGCAGCGGGGTTTTTTTTACTTTAATGTCCGTTTTAGTTCAAATTTGCGGCATTGTATTTTACTAACAAAGACCTTTAATTTGATTGTGCATATAAACCTATTGTTACATGTAAGAGTTTCTTCTGACTCCTGTTGGGCCATTGCACGAGGAGGTAGCACATCACAGAATAATGTGTTACAATAATTTCAATGCCCAGTAACTGAGTACCAAGTTTTCAAGCTCCACCTTTATTACTATTTGAAATATTTAACTGTCCCGGGACTTTTTATCTAACCTGTATAATACATGATATTGGTGAAGAAAATTTAGTTAATTTACATTTTATATGAAATATGATAACATATAGGATTTAGCATTGGTCTTACAATTGACTATTATTTATAAACAAAGTTTTGTGAGTCATTTCATGTCATTTGGCTTTTTATGATGACGTTCATTGATATAAATGAAAACATGTCTGTTATAATTGCTTTTAAATTCCTACTTATGAGGACTCATCAGTTGTGGAAATGAATAAGACCAAAATTAGATTGTCAAGAATGAATACATATATATTTGTAAAAAAATGACATTTGTATAAGGATTTCCAACGTGTAGATCACTTATGAGGACGCTCATTGCTATCTATGAATATATGTCTGTTATAAAGGAATGTTGATACAAAGGATTGTCCACATGAAGTGCACTCAAGGTTTCTCTTCTGTATGAATTGAACTGACAATGTACGTGACTTCAAATTGTTTTTGCTTTTAAAGGATTTTCCACATGTTGTGCACTTATAAGGTTTCTCTTCTGTATGAATTGACAATATATGTATCTTCTAACTGTTTTTGCAGTTTAAAGGATTTTTCACATTTAGAGCACTTGTACCTGTACTGATTCCAACAGTACCTCTCTTCTGTATGAACCAATGTATGTTCTATCAAATTGCTTATATATGTAAAAGACTTTCCGCATATGTGGTGCATTAATGAAGACTCTCTTCTGTATGAACCGACAATACATGCACCTTCAAATTGCATTTGTGTGCATAGGATTTTCCACATGTTGTGCACTTATAAGGTCTCTCTTCTGTATGAATTGACAATATATGTACCTTCTAACTGTTTTTTGCGGTTTAAAGGATTTTTCATAATTAGAGCACTTGTACCTGTACTGATTCCAACAGTACCTCTCTTCTGTATGAACCAATGTATGTTCTATCAAATTGCTTATATATGCAAAAGACTTTCCGCATATGTGGTGCATTAATGAAGACTCTCTTCTGTATGAACCGACAATACATGCGCCTTCAAATGGCATTTGTGTGCATAGGACTTTCCACATGTTGTGCACTTATAAGGTCTCTCTTCTGTATGAACGGACAATGTATGCGACTTCAACTTGTATTTGCATAAAAATGATTTTCCACATGTAGAACACTTGTGAGGACGCTAATTGCTATGTATTAATACATGTCTGTTATAAAGGAATGTTGATGCAAAGGATTTTCCACAAGTAGTGCACTTATAAGGTCTCTCTTTTGTATGAACTGACAATGTATGTGACTTTAAATAGTTTTTGCGTTTAAAGGATTTTCCACATGTTGTGCACTTATAAGGTCTCTCTTCTGTATGAACGGACAATGTATGCGACTTCAACTTGTATTTGCATAAAAATGATTTTCCACATGTAGAACACTTGTGAGGACGCTCATTGCTATGTATTAATACATGTCTGTTATAAAGGAATGTTGATGCAAAGGATTTTCCACAAGTAGTGCACTTATAAGGTCTCTCTTTTGTATGAACTGACAATGTATGTGACTTTAAATAGTTTTTGCATTTAAAGGATTTTCCACATGTTGTGCACTTATAAGGTCTCTCTTCTGTATGAATTGACAATATATGTACCTTCAAACCGTATTTGCGGTTATAGGATTTTCCACATGTTGTACACTTATAAGGTTTCTCTTCTGTATGAACTGACAACGTATGTGACATCAAATGATGTTTGTATGAAAATGATTTTCCACAGGTAGTGCACTTATAAGGTTTATTCCCTGTGTGTGTCAACACATGACTCTTTGCATTATGTTTCTGGGTAAAGGTTTTGTCACACATCAAACATTTAAAGGGGCGCTCGCCTGTGTGATACAATATATGAACCTTCATTGCTAACTGAGTTAAAAAAGTTTTCCCACATATTGGACACTTAAGCACAGGCTTTTTAGTGTGTTTTAGCATTGGTAAGTTTCCTATTTCTGTCATTGTGAAACTTATTAGATAATCTTAATACCATAATAATCAGAAGGGTCGACAAATCAATAAGCCTTGTACCCTTATCTATTAATCTTTTTTGTAGGACTTGTTAAATGAAGCAGTTGAACGAATACTGGGTTTATCTAGCAACACATCTGAAAAATATCACACTTTATTAACACATTTATTTAGGTCTAATCATGATTAAACAATTTAAACAAAATTTTACTAGTTAAAGTACATCATATTGGTCTAACATAATGTTGGTGAAAAAAATGAAATGAAGAAACCAAGAATAAGTACTTTTTTGGTGGTTTTAAAAACACTTTCAATACTTCACATCATCAAAAATCAAATTTTTTCACTATATTACGAAGTTTTTGGCTTTTTTACAAACATTAATTGGCAGCTAAAAGCTATGTATTGCTGTCCAACGCCGAAATGCCACCTGTCTTCGTCATTTTGGGCAATACAAAGCAGGTCTTTGCAGGTCTGAAAATCAGCTGTTCCCTTTTTTACTTAAAAGATTAATCCATATATTAATACGCAAGCAGTTTTCTTTTCACAGCCATAACTGGATAACAGCTACAATTATTATTAAGTTTTGGGATGGAACATGCAGTTTAAAATTTTTTTTATTCTTGAAATTTTTTTGATAAACCCACTTGTATAGGAGTTACAGCCTATGAAAAACTGACTTCTGGTGTGACATCTTTACTAATGAAACTTGTTATAGATGTTGATAGTTCTAAGCGAAACTAAACTGATAAGTTAAATTTATGAAATAGTTGTATTTTGTATTATATTTATAAACATTTTATTTATTTATAGCTTTATTAAAAACCATGAAAATAGATTTAATTGAAATCAATTCAAGACAACTAGAAATTCGGTTAGTCGTCAGGTTTGCTGTAGCGGGGTTTTTTTTACTTTAAAGCCCAGTAACTGAGTACCAAGTTTTGAAGCTCCACCTTTATTACTTTTGGAAATATTTAACTGACCCGGGACTTTTGATCTAACCTGTATAATACATGATATTGGTGAATAAAATTTAGTTAATTTACATTTTATATTAAATATAACATATAGGATTTAGCATTGGTCTTACAATTGACTATTATTTATAAACAAAGTTTTGTGAGTCATTTCATGTCATTTGGCTTTTTATGATGACGTTCATTGATATAAATGAAAACATGTCTGTTATAATTGCTTTTAAATTCCTACTTATGAGGACTCATCAGTTGTGGAAATGAATAAGACCAAAATTAGATTGTCAAGAATGAATACATATATATTTGTAAAAAAAGGACATTTGTATAAGGATTTCCGTGTAGATCACTTATGAGGACGCTCATTGCTATGTATGAATATATGTCTGTTATAAAGGAATGTTGATACAAAGGATTGTCCACATGAAGTGCACTCAAGGTTTCTCTTCTGTATGAATTGAACTGACAATGTACGTGACTTCAAATTGTTTTTGCTTTTAAAGGATTTTCCACATGTTGTGCACTTATAAGGTTTCTCTTCTGTATGAATTGACAATATATGTAACTTCTAACTGTTTTTGCGGTTTAAAGGATTTTTCATAATTAGAGCACTTGTACCTGTACTGATTCCAACAGTACCTCTCTTCTGTATGAACCAATGTATGTTCTATCAAATTGCTTATATATGCAAAAGACTTTCCGCATATGTGGTGCATTAATGAAGACTCTCTTCTGTATGAACCGACAATACATGCGCCTTCAAATTGCATTTGTGTGCATAGGATTTTCCACATGTTGTGCACTTATAAGGTCTCTCTTCTGTATGAATTGACAATATATGTACCTTCTAACTGTTTTTTTGCGGTTTAAAGGATTTTTCATAATTAGAGCACTTGTACCTGTACTGATTCCAACAGTACCTCTCTTCTGTATGAACCAATGTATGTTCTATCAAATTGCTTATATATGCAAAAGACTTTCCGCATATGTGGTGCATTAATGAAGACTCTCTTCTGTATGAACCGACAATACATGCGCCTTCAAATGGCATTTGTGTGCATAGGACTTTCCACATGTTGTGCACTTATAAGGTCTCTCTTCTGTATGAACGGACAATGTATGCGACTTCAACTTGTATTTGCATAAAAATGATTTTCCACATGTAGAACACTTGTGAGGACGCTAATTGCTATGTATTAATACATGTCTGTTATAAAGGAATGTTGATGCAAAGGATTTTCCACAAGTAGTGCACTTATAAGGTCTCTCTTTTGTATGAACTGACAATGTATGTGACTTTAAATAGTTTTTGCGTTTAAAGGATTTTCCACATGTTGTGCACTTATAAGGTCTCTCTTCTGTATGAACGGACAATGTATGCGACTTCAACTTGTATTTGCATAAAAATGATTTTCCACATGTAGAACACTTGTGAGGACGCTCATTGCTATGTATTAATACATGTCTGTTATAAAGGAATGTTGATGCAAAGGATTTTCCACAAGTAGTGCACTTATAAGGTCTCTCTTTTGTATGAACTGACAATGTATGTGACTTTAAATAGTTTTTGCATTTAAAGGATTTTCCACATGTTGTGCACTTATAAGGTCTCTCTTCTGTATGAATTGACAATATATGTACCTTCAAACCGTATTTGCGGTTATAGGATTTTCCACATGTTGTACACTTATAAGGTTTCTCTTCTGTATGAACTGACAACGTATGTGACATCAAATGATGTTTGTATGAAAATGATTTTCCACAGGTAGTGCACTTATAAGGTTTATTCCCTGTGTGTGTCAACACATGACTCTTTGCATTATGTTTCTGGGTAAAGGTTTTGTCACACATCAAACATTTAAAGGGGCGCTCGCCTGTGTGATACAATATATGAACCTTCATTGCTAACTGAGTTAAAAAAGTTTTCCCACATATTGGACACTTAAGCACAGGCTTTTTAGTGTGTTTTAGCATTGGTAAGTTTCCTATTTCTGTCATTGTGAAACTTATTAGATAATCTTAATACCATAATAATCAGAAGGGTCGACAAATCAATAAGCCTTGTACCCTTATCTATTAATCTTTTTTGTAGGACTTGTTAAATGAAGCAGTTGAACGAATACTGGGTTTATCTAGCAACACATCTGAAAAATATCACACTTTATTAACACATTTATTTAGGTCTAATCATGATTAAACAATTTAAACAAAATTTTACTAGTTAAAGTACATCATATTGGTCTAACATAATGTTGGTGAAAAAAATGAAATGAAGAAACCAAGAATAAGTACTTTTTTGGTGGTTTTAAAAACACTTTCAATACTTCACATCATCAAAAATCAAATTTTTTCACTATATTACGAAGTTTTTGGCTTTTTTACAAACATTAATTGGCAGCTAAAAGCTATGTATTGCTGTCCAACGCCGAAATGCCACCTGTCTTCGTCATTTTGGGCAATACAAAGCAGGTCTTTGCAGGTCTGAAAATCAGCTGTTCCCTTTTTTACTTAAAAGATTAATCCATATATTAATACGCAAGCAGTTTTCTTTTCACAGCCATAACTGGATAACAGCTACAATTATTATTAAGTTTTGGGATGGAACATGCAGTTTAAAATTTTTTTTATTCTTGAAATTTTTTTGATAAACCCACTCGTATAGGAGTTACAGCCTATGAAAAACTGACTTCTGGTGTGACATCTTTACTAATGAAACTTGTTATAGATGTTGATAGTTCTAAGCGAAACTAAACTGATAAGTTAAATTTATGAAATAGTTGTATTTTGTATTATATTTATAAACATTTTATTTATTTATAGCTTTATTAAAAACCATGAAAATATATTTAATTGAAATCAATTCAAGACAACTAGAAATTCGGTTAGTCGTCAGGTTTGCTGTGGCGGGGTTTTTTTTACTTTAAAGCCCAGTAACTGAGTACCAAGTTTTGAAGCTCCACCTTTATTACTTTTGGAAATATTTAACTGACCCGGGACTTTTGATCTAACCTGTATAATACATGATATTGGTGAATAAAATTTAGTTAATTTACATTTTATATTAAATATAACATATAGGATTTAGCATTGGTCTTACAATTGACTATTATTTATAAACAAAGTTTTGTGAGTCATTTCATGTCATTTGGCTTTTTATGATGACGTTCATTGATATAAATGAAAACATGTCTGTTATAATTGCTTTTAAATTCCTACTTATGAGGACTCATCAGTTGTGGAAATGAATAAGACCAAAATTAGATTGTCAAGAATGAATACATATATATTTGTAAAAAAAGCACATTTGTGTAAGGATTTCCAACGTGCAGATCACTTATGAGGACGCTCATTGCTATGTATGAATATATGTCTGTTATAAAGGAATGTTGATACAAAGGATTTTCCACATGAAATGCACTCAAGGTTTCTCTTCTGTATGAATTGAATTGACAATGTACGTGACTTCAAATTGTTTTTGCTTTTAAAGGATTTTTCACTTGTTGTGCACTTATAAGGTTTCTCTTCTGTATGAATTGACAATATATGTATCTTCTAACTGTTTTTGCAGTTTAAAGGATTTTTCACATTTAGAGCACTTGTACCTGTACTGATTCCAACAGTACCTCTCTTCTGTATGAACCAATGTATGTTCTATCAAATTGCTTATATATGTAAAAGACTTTCCGCATATGTGGTGCATTAATGAAGACTCTCTTCTGTATGAACCGACAATACATGCGCCTTCAAATGGCATTTGTGTGCATAGGATTTTCCACATGTTGTGCACTTATAAGGTCTCTCTTCTGTATGAATTGACAATATATGTACCTTCAAATGGTTTTTGCGTTTAAAGGATTTTCCACATGTTGGGCACTTAAAAGGTTTCTCTTCTGTATGAATTGACAATATATGTATCTTCAAACCGTATTTGCGTTTAAAGGATTTGCCACATGTTGTGCACTGAAAAGGTTTCTCTTCTGTATGAATTGTCAATTTATGTAAATTCAAACCTTTTTTGCATTTAAAGGATTTACCACATGTTGTGCACTTATAATGTCTCTCTTCTGTATGAACGGACAATGTATGCGACTTCAATTTGTATTTGCATAAAAATGATTTTCCACATGTAGAACACTTGTGAGGACGCTCATTGCTATGTATTAATACATGTCTGTTATAAAGGAATGTTGATGCAAAGGATTTTCCACATGTGGTGCACTTATAAGGTCTCTCTTTTGTATGAATTGACAATGTATGTTTCTTCAAACTGCATTTGTGTGCAAAGGATTTTCCACATGTAGTGCACTTATAAGATATCTCTTCTGTATGAACGGACAATGTATGTGATTTTAAAATGTTTTTGCAGTTAAAGGATTTTCCACATGTTGTACACTTATAAGGTTTCCTCCCTGTGTGTGTCAACACATGACTCATTACCTTAGATTTTTGGGTAAAGGTTTTGTCACATATCAAACATTTAAAGGGGCGCTCGCCCGTGTGATACAATATATGACGCTTCATTCCTAACTGAGTTAAAAAATATTTCCCACATATTGGACACTTAAGCAGAGGCTTTTTAGTGTGTTTTAACATTGGTAAGTTTCCAATTTCTGTCTTTGTGAAACTTATTAGATAAGCTTAAAGTACCATAATAATCAGAAGGGTCGACTAATCAATAAGCCTTGTACCTTTATTTATAAATCTTTTCTGTAGGACTTGTTAAATGATGCAGTTGAACGAATACTGGGCTTATCTAGCAACACATCTGAAAAATATCACACATTATTAACACATTTATTTAGGTCAAATAATGATTAAACAATTTAAAACAATTTTTACTAGTTCAAGTACATCATATTGGTCTAACATAATGTTGGTGCAAAAAATGAAATAAAGAAACCAAGAATAAGTAAGTTACATGTTTGGTGGTTTTTAAAACACTTTCAATACTTCACATCATCAAAAATCAATTTTTTCCACCATATTACGATGTTTTTGGCCGTTTTACAAACATTAATTGGAGGCTAAAAGCTTTGTATTGCTGTCCAGGGCCGAAATGCCACCTGTCGTCGTCATTTTGGGCCAAGCAGGTTTTTGCAGCCCTAGGTCCGAAAATCAGCTGTTCGCTTTTTTACTTAAAAGATCAATCCATATATTAATACGCAAGCAGTTTTCTTTTCACAGCCATAACTGGATAACAGCTTGACGTGTTTTAACGTTTGAGGTGTCAAATTAAAGGTATTTTCACGTAGATGTGCAAATACGTCTCAGAATATTAAGAAAGGGCACTTAAGTACTAACAGTTAAGGGCTTAAGTATGGGAACAGCGCCGCTATCTGTTGACATTAGATTAAACTCAATTCCCTTTGTTTACAACTAAACATATGGACGTAGTTTGAAATAGTTTTTAAAGTTAACCACAGACTGCAGGACTTATTACTTCCAGAGCAAAGCCGGAATTTATATTTTTATTTTAACATCTGTTAAATAAGTCTGATTCATAAAATAGTTTCCTAGCAAGATAATAAATTGTTGGTAATATAGTTGAATTTATTTACTTTACATCGTACATTTTTTGATTGTTTTTTGCGCTCTTTCAAAAAGTGTTGATAAATATAAATGAATTTGGACATTTTAAAAATAAAATAACCTCACGCAGCAAATCTGCAGACCAAGCGAATTTCCATTTGAAGCCAGATTAATTTTCACTTTTAAGGTGTACACACACCGGAGCGGTACGGTGGAGCATTAGCGGTGCGATATTCGCACAGTGATTTAGTCAAATGGAAGTAAATGCAAGCCGCTACAATGGAGCGGTAGCGGTATACCGCCTGTACCACCGCTCCACTGAGATGCAGCATGTTCCATTTCTCTGCCCAGCGTTGCCAGTGCAACGAGCCTAGCATTTGTGTTTCTTGTCTTTTATAAGTTTAAGCATCAATGTATGGTCTTCGCCATGCTCAAATTGCCTTTTGTTCATGTCATATACCAACTCCCTATTTCCGCGATCGTTGTCTTCAGTTACAGCAAACAATAGCAAAATGTCTTCCTTGTCGTCTGATGTACACATATTTCTATCTAACAACACACTGAACATGTTGACTGCACACTCATCAATGAGGACAGAAAATCACTGTACTCAGCTGTCATCGCTGCGGTGCGGAATCTGTCCGGGGTGAACAACCCAGCTATACCGCCGCGGTGATGATAGTGGGGGGGATGAAAAATTGTGCCTATACCGCCACCACTCCGGTATGTGCAAGCATTAATTTATTTAAATAACACTAGGTTCAATGAGTACCTAGGTATGCTGCTGCTACAGGGAGTAAAGTGTAGTAAAATGTGTTTTTTAGAAAAACATCAATAATAGCGTAGTATAAAATAAATAATGTTTCCATATAATATATCCATAAACAATCAAACCACAACAATTTCCTTATTCTCCATAAGAATATCATGGGAATTTTAAATTTAAAACTTTTAGAATAGCCAATAACCGTAGGCCTACAGAAACACTTCATTATAAGATCTTTTTACAAGCTCTTCAAAATGTTTTAGAAAGAAATGGATAAATGGGACAAATTGTTTCTGTGATAAAAGGTTACCTCTCCCCCCTTTATGCACAGTGGTGGAGGTTTTTGCCATCCCACTAAAAAAATTGGCTGCAAAATTCTCAAGCGATCCCTACTCACTGCCACCACTCGTTTTTAGCGAAGGGAATAAGCTATTACTGTAAGTCTCATGGTAAGTCCTAGACCCGGGAACGATTTACTTTTTCGTTTTGAGGTACCCAGAGGCCAAAAACACCCTTCAAAATCATATTTATATGTCCGTTAGCATGATAACTCGAGAAAAAATGATTCGATTTTAATGAAATTTGGTACGAAACCTTTGTTTATTCTAAGAGTTCGCAAACCAGCATGATCGGACTAATGGAACAGGTGTTTATGGGGTAAAAATTGGTTTTCCCATTTTTTACTCTAAAAATATAAAATTTCACAATTTCTTTACAAACCATTAGGTACCGTAGCTTGAAAAAAGAAATAACTTTGCTTATTGAAGCGTGGTTGTATGCCTAACAGTTACGGAGATGATTCAAAACAATTTTAATTTAAAATGTCCATGTTATTCTTATGGAGAATTAAAATAATGTTGTAGTTTTCCTCGTTTATGGATATACTAGCTTTTACCCGGCGCGCGTTGCTGCGCTTAACAACTATTATTTTAAATAGTAATGTTTTCTTTATGATGAATAATAAAAGTGTATACAACAAAATAATATAGAATATTTTACTTAATTGCCAATGGATAAAAAGTGTTTTTTGTTTTTTCATTAGGTGTATAAATATATAATTTTTTAGGCGTACCTACCACCACGTGAGCACACAACATACAGCTGTCTGTGTGAAAAGCATGCATTTTCTAAATTTAAACCGACGGATAGTCAGAGATTGCCCTAGTGCCTTATAATGGTCATTGCAAAAGCAAGACACAAAGGATATTGTAGTTGCTTAAATTCAGAGGGTAACCTACAAAACAGTTTATGAAAGTAAACATCTGCTTTACTGCTTTTGAATTTTATTTATTTGTAACCATTGTACAAAAGTCTGACACTGGCCCACTTAAAACCCTCTGGGACGGATCCCTTTTAAACAGATCTGCACCAAACTTCACACAAACCATCCTTGAAAGATGCTTAATAATGCCTGAAAGTTTCATTATAATCTGTCGAGTGGTTTCGGAGTCCATAACGTATATACATATATATATATAGTACTCTTTTATAGATATAGTTTTTAGTCAGATTTAAATATAACTTATTTTTCTTACAAAACCATTATTCAATATAAAATATATTTAACTAGTGTACCTGTTGCTCAAATTCGAGCAATTGCGAAGCATTACAGGCGACTCAAAGATTATGGAAATACGCACGATCTACACAACAGTTAGATATAATCAAAATCTTTTGTAAATTATCTTATCTTTTTTCAAAAAGCTGATCTTGTTTTTTAGTGTTTCTACAAATAGTTCCCTCTCATAGCCGCATTAGGTTGTCTATAATAACGATTATAAATGAAAAAAAAAACATTATTTCTTTTCTTCTACTTGGTTGTGTTCTATGACTTTTTCTATGTTTCCATTGTTTGCAAATCGGTTATTTCAATGATTGCTCAAGAAATGTAGCATATTGTTAATTCAGTTTTATTTTTAGCCTATATCAATTTGTCCAGGATTTCTCGCTTTTTTCCATTGTAATAATTTCACCAACCCAAGTTTCGTCTACAGATGCAATACGCCAAAGAATATTACCTACGTAGGTACCTACGTATACCTACAATCTCCAAGAAGTGGTAAAAAAAGGCAGAAACCAAGCCATACAATAGTTATAAGTTAACTCCATAAGAAATAATTTTAAGAGTCACTGTGATATTAGGATTTTCCACTGATTTGGTAATAGAACATTATATTGCAAAACATGACACGATGCAGAATAAAATCGATTTTAAAAACCCATTGCAAATACTGTACTTCATTTTGAAAAATTCAATAAATCACAATTTAAATATTAACAGCTGTTTCAATAAAAAGTAGTATAGAATGTAAACAAATCTGAAGAGGCAACTTTAAATGCTTCTGGGGCAGAGCCCCAAGGGAATTTACCTCGTTCCTCTTTTGATGGCTCATCTATAGACCAAGACCTTTCTTTAGAGACTCCTACCAAGTTTCTACACCCAGCCGTTCTCTCAAATTAGCTGGGACAAAAACCCAGTTTTTCCTCCATAAGGATAACATGGGATGGGAATTCAAAGGCCACTGGGGCAGAGCCCCAAGGGAATTTACCACGTTTTTCTTTTGATGGCTCATCTACAGACCAAGACCTTTCTTTAGACACCTCTAATGAGTTTCTACGCCCAGCCGTTCTCTCAATTTAGCTATGACAAAGAAAAACAGTTTCAAATTAATATATAGATAAACGGTATCAGCAATCTGACACATACTTTCTCCCATTAGCTTGTCAACAACCTTTATCATGGGTAAGCGATGAGAGTAACTATGGTATTTAATAGGTATAATCTCAAAAGTTTCATTATCTTTTGAACAGAAATGAAGGGATGCACTATTTTGTTTAGAATTATAAGGACCATAACAGAAGGATTTCAATCAGAATCGGTTTTTTTTTCCAAAAATCAATTTTTCCGTTTTTTAATGGGTTTTTATGGGAAAATAACATAAAACTTTTGAGCCATAATTTTTACAGCGATGGGGGTTGCACAGTGTTGTTTGGAATTATAAGTATTATCACATACTAATTTCAATCTAAATGGGTTTCTTTCGAAAATACCATTTTCTCTTATTTTATGGGAAAATAACATAATTTACTATAACTTTTGAACCGTAATTTTTACAGAAATGGGAGTTCTACCATTTTGTTCAGAATTTAAAGTGCTACAACTTGCTAAATTTTTATCAAAATCGTTCGGGCCGTTTTTGAGAAAATCCGATTTTCCCGTTATATTATAAGTTTTTCTGTGAAAATCTACATTAAAAATCAAAATTTCCAAAAAAAAAATAAAAAAACACCTGGATTAGTACCTACATACCGTACCAAATTTCATCAAAATTGGACTACAGGTAGGTGTGGTCTGTAGCTCTGTACACATCTAGACACACACATCACTTCGAAAACCACTTTTTTTAAACTCACACTCAAAAAATGTTGACGAAAACAATACTTTCTCCATATATTATGGTACAGGGGGA